CAAACCTACCTACTTTGCAATTTCTGAAAATAACCCAGAACGGAAATGTAGCTAATCCATTTGAATCTGCACTTCTCTGAATTTTGCAGTGCAGTTCCTCAGCTATGTAATGTGTACATAAACACATATATAGGAGCAAAATGTGCATGAAAAGCCATACATTACAGAATATAACATAAAGAAATTATTATATTAGGAGAAATGTGGAGATGTGGAGATCTGAATTTAAGAATGGAATAATGAGATACTCAAATTGACTGATTTGCCCATCTCAACTACTGTTCCTACTCAGACCGTCTGAAAAGGCTGACAAAAATCTCAGCTCCAAGAAATTTTCAGTTTCATTTCCACAAACATACAGAAATGAGTTGAGTAGTGTGATTATTATTTTTTTAGTAAAAAAAAAAAGTATGATTGAAAAGTGACCCAGTGGGGGGGGGGCAGAAAGCAGATCAGGATCTACTCATAGCACTGTAGCATTAGAAGGGACCAGGAGAGTCATCTCGTTCAACCCTCTGCAATGCACAACGTGGGGCTCAAACCAACAACCCTCATGTGCTTTGCCGCAGAGCTCTCCAAACTCTGTGTTGACTGCAGTGTGTAGGTGTGTCACGCAGACACTACCCACACTCCTCCCGGGGCTGGAAAGGGGTTAGTTTAACTTCTGGTTTGCTAGTAAAACTGAATTACTGTGTTGCAAAATGATGTGTGTCTAAAAAGTGTGTCACCAACATGAAAAGTCTGGAAAGCTCTGCTCTACTGACTGAGCTAACCCAGGTCTGGTAGGTTGCTGGATTATTTGATCAGCAAAGTTTCTGACTCCCAATAGCAACATGGCCCCCACCCCTTGCATTAGGCTGGAAGAATGTTTTATCTAGGGTTGCCATATATCCGGAATATTCCAGACATTGCCAGGATTCGGCCATTGGAAACTGTGTCTGGGCAAAAATTGCTTTAACATCCAGGAAAATCCGGACGTACGGCAACCCATGTCAAAATTTTAACCCATGTTAAAAATAGCCAAAAAATCTCAACAACTTTTGTGTCTAGATTTTCACTTTTTGAACTATAGCAACCCTAAGTAACTCAGATGTACATTTGCATCTGTATATGCAGCTCCTCCCAGAGTATGGCTCTTGGAATGCAGGGGAATTGACCCTCCTCCTGTGCCACTTACTTTACCCTCAAAATCATCATGAAGCCTAAATTCTTCCCATGCCTGTCATGGGAAAAGATGCCCAAAGAAGACCATTCCAATATTGCCTTGCACAGGATTTCCATGCAAGTTCTGAACTCAGCCATGATATTTTTCAGGTTAAACCTCCTCTAATGCAATCCTACGCATGGTTACTCAGAAGTGAGTCCAACTGAATTTAGTGGGCCTTCCTCTTGGATAAGTGGAGTCAGGATGGCAGCTTAAGTGCCTAACCAGTTCAGCAGCAGTAGAACTGGCCTTCCTCTACCTCTGTTTATTCCTCTCCATGTAAGCTATAAAACTGCCAATGTTGCACTGTGTTTCATTCATCTTAGTGCACGGCATCAGGCAGCCCCTGCAAGGGTGACAAACCTGCTTTATGCAGAGTCAGCTGATGAGATAACAAGATCCTTTATGTATTTAAAACTCGGAAAGAAATGGGTCATGTTGCCGACATTAGCATAATTCTCACCAGAGGCTCTGGGAGAAGGTAGGTCACATCACATCGTTTCTACAGAAATGTGCGATGTCAGGAAGGTTAGCAGACAGCAGCCCTTATGGCAGATCTGTTTGCTGGTGTGCACGCTATAGAATCAGTGAATCAGACAGAATGAATCAGCGAGGGCAATAGTGGATCAAGGGTGCAAAGTATTTCCCTCTACAGAGGATCACATCTAGGATCAATGGAGGAAAATCAAAGGAGATATAGCCCAAGGGGAAGCCGGCTTGTCAGTGCACATGACCCTTGATGGATGGGAGCGTCTGCATCTCCTGCTCAAAATGTCTTCCTCCTCGGGATTGGGGCCATTGTTCTCCCCCACCCCCACCCATGGCACACTGACCAGCTGCCGTTGTTGCAAATGGTTTTTGCCATTTTATTAATGGTGATAGTGCAGGTGCTCCCAGCATCTGTGGATACATTCTACCCCACAATCCTTCACTTTGAATGTTAAAGGGGTTCTTCCTCATTGTGGGCAGGGTGAGCCAAACAGAGCCTGTGCTGTCACTGTTTTACTGTGGTAGGAAATGTTGTTGGTGTTGTTTAAAATAACATAGTGTGCTACCATTATTTTTTAAATACTCTTGGCTACTGCCACAAACAATGCCAAATAGCCATAGAAGACGAGGAATTGTATGCAGGTGAGTGAGTAAATTGGAGAGCTCTGTCAGTCCTCAGCACCCAGCAGAGAAAGCAAGCAAGGTGTCAGAAGATGGAAGTGCCCTCCTCCACAACCACAACCAGCATTCAAAGATAGTGGGAGAAACAAAGCCCTTCATTCCTCCCCAGGGAGCTAGTAAGGACTTTCCTTGCTTGCTTGCTTGCTTGCTTGGCATGCTAGTAACTCTTGCGGACTTACTTACAAGGCTGGTGTAAGCCATTTTAACATAATTTTAAACAGTTTAAAATCAGTGCCTGGAAAAGCAGGATTCCACAACAAGTTGTGCCAATTTCCCTAGGTTTTATGCATGTGTGCCTGCAAATTACTCTGCATTTTTTCTGGGTTTTGTGTTTTTTTAAAAATAATAATCCATAACTCATTATGGGTTTGCTAGTCATGGGAAAGGCATTGAAACTCTACCCCAGCTCTGTAAGTTTTGGACTTTCATGGACAGATCTTTTGCAGGCATAGGGACTAGAAGCCTGCTTTTTTTGAAAAAGAGCAAAGAAGGATTTCAAGATCCTGAGAAAGTTGGATTCTGAGCTCTGGGCTCCTGTTGAAAACCCACAGAGCCCTAGCCATGCCAAAAGTAAAGGGAAGCTATGACTAGTGGGACAGAATGGCTAATTTCAGAGTATATTTTTAAAATGTTACACATGCAAGTACACACACCCTCTCTCAGACAACTCAATACTAAGCAGATGTAGTTCAGTGGATATTATTACATCTTAGTAATAAACAAGTTTAAATATAAAGTTAATCTGCCTTCCTGAAAGCTTAAGGCACTGCAGATGAAGTTGAGGCTGAGCAAGGCGGAGAGAAGCCACATTGAAAAACATTGGCATAATTTGTTTTCCTGGCAGCTGGGTAAAAATAGGATAGGATATGCGCCGTTTATATTAGGGAGATATGTTCCTATCTAACCCAGACATATTTCATCAGTTTTCCTTTCTGATAATCCGATTGCCGTTTTTATAGTCCATAAAATCATGGGCCGACGTGATAGGAAATGACTTTCAAATATCTTCTTGCTGCCGCTGCTCTATTTTTCTACATTTGCTTCACGACTGACTGACAGCTCAGTAATCAACTGCAGATCAGATTTAGGGAAGCCACAATCTACTCTTGTTAATTAATAAGGGCATGTATTCCACCTCCCCCAGTGCCAAGAGGCTGTGACAATAGGGCCAACATCCTTTGGCATGGTTCTAATGAACTTTCAACATATATGTTTCAGTAAAGTTATAATGCACAAAGCAGATTTGTATATTTCAAACCCAGGTGTTTGGGTTCCATCACATTCCAATTGACCCAAGGAATGTCAAGACGCAGCAGCAGCAGCAAGGTTTGGAATATGGGAATAAGGTGTTGCTCAGGTGTTTCATTGAGCTCATTGGGACTGGTTCATCTATGCCTGTGCTTATCACGTGAACAAAAGTGTTTGAGCTGAATGTGTAAACTGACTGACTCATTTTGTTGTTCTTGTTTTATTACCCATCCTTCATGCTAATGTGGGTTACACAATCTAAAATGCAATATTAAAAGCAACTTTAAAAATTGTCAAAGAATACAATCACAAAAAATAAGAAGAGTTCTACAAATAAACATCTCAGGTGTCAAAGGCCAGGATGAAGAGATGCATTATGTAAGAGGTACTACCGAAGTTCTGTCTCTCATGTTAAATCAATAGCCCATCCATACGTGGAAGTTATCCACTGATGTCATCAAGTGATAAGTGCATGAAAAAGTTATCAAGCATTCAAGGGCAAGCACGATTCTTTTAAATGCAGTTGAGAATCCAATTCACCTTTCTCTCTTGCTGCCAACTTGTTAAATGAATATAAATCAGAACGGCTGTATCAGTTATTGGTGATTGCCCTTCAGCAAATTAACACAAATGACGTCTTTGTGCTCCAACTATTATGGGCTATTTAAAAATCCTTACTAATTTTTTACTCCATTGATCTTACATACAACGACGAATTCTGTCTAGGTATTGTTTTAGCTAGCAATGACTAAGCTATGAGGATTTGTCAATCTTGTTTAGCCCAATTTCATGGGGGTCCTTCTTCCCTGGAGATCTTGCAATAGAAGTGCTGCCCACCGTGATGCCTCCATTCTCCTCCCTACAAAAGCATCTACCATAATCCCACAGATGATCCATCTGCATGTCCAGATCCACAGGCTGTTCTGCAGCTAACCTGTGTGGTTATTTCTTTCTCTCAATAACGTGAAGATTTAAAGGAACTGTGGGCAATTATGCTTAATCACATAAAACGTCACATGAGGATTAATATGTGGTTTTTATTGTTATTATTAATAATAATTTATTTCATTTATTAATTGCTTCCTATTAGACATCTCAAAGTGATTTACAATGCAATAAAACCATGTATAAAACAATTTTAAAATAAAAAGTTAACATTTAACAGTTAAAACAACAACAATTAAATATATAAAATCTTTTCAAATTTAGTACAGATACCAACTGGGATAACAATCTTCAATTGCAAGTCTCATTGAAAGAAGAAGCTTTTAATTTCACACTACAAAGACAGTAGAGCTGATGCCTAGAATCATAGATTTGTAGGGTTGCAAGGGACCATAAGGGTCATCTAGTCCAATCATCTGCCATGAAGGAAGCTTTTTGCCCAATGTGGGGCTCAAACCCATGACTCTGAGATTAAGAGTCTCATGCTCTAGCAACTGAGTTATCAGCTGATATTGTCTGATATATGGGAAGCAGTTCTTAAGTGCAGGTGCCACCACACAAAAGGCACTATTCTGATATCTTGTGAATTGCATAGTATCTGCAGAAGGGCTTCTCTTGCAACACAGTGATCAACTGAGTATACAAGGTATAAAATGATCTTTTAGTTATCCAGTTCTCAAGGTTTGCATACCAGTAGTGGCTCCTTGAATTAGGTAGCTAATTGGCAGCCAATGCACTTTTTTTAGCATATTATATGTATGTCAGGGACCTGCTGGACAATGAGGAGTGGTGGGAGGCTGCAGCCAGAGAACCCCTAGGGAAGCCTTAGAGGAGGAAGAATCAAAACCAGGGGAGAGGTGGTGGAACAGGTCAGAGGATGAAGGGGGGTAGAATGGTTGGATGTTGAACAAGCAACAGGCTTGAGTAAGAGAGAGGAGACAGAGGCAGAAAGCACTGCAGATGCAGGACAGGCAGCTGATGCGGAGGAGACAGAGGCTGCTGCAACGTCACAGGAGCCTGCTGGCCCTACTGTATTAAGCTCCCTCCCTTGTCTCCAAGGGCATGAAGAACCCTGCATGTAGCAAAACAAAGAACAGAGAGAGCACAGAGGAGCACTCCCCAATGGAGTTTAAGTCTGCTTAGAAAACATCCGGCTTAGGGGAAAGTGGGAGGCACAGGTTGTCATTTCTGGCAGCTGTTTTACTGGAGGCCAATGTTGCCCATAGGTTTCTCTGTATTCTGTTTCCTTGAATAAAGAATAAACTTTACTGCTTGTCTCTGAGTCTCTGTGCTGACCTGTATCATCTAAGGCAGACATCAGCCCTCCAGATGTTTTGGTACTACAACTCCCATCATCCCTAGCTAACAGGACCAGTGGTCAGGGATGATGGGAGTTGTAGTCCCAAAACACTTGGAGGGCCGAGTTTGGGGGTGCCTGATCTAAGGTGTACGTACTAGGGATTTGCACCACTTGCAAAGTTCACATTTTATATATATATTTAACATTAGGATCTGTATTTCTAGTTTGACTTGTTATTCAGATCTGTATCAGATACATTAATGCTGAAGCTCTGTTTTCCCCATTACCTGTAATGCTGAACCTAAACACGGTTTATAGCTCTCCTCCTTTTCACAAAAGTGGATGAAACTCCTTGCTGGTGAAGAACTCCTTGCTGAATGGATAATGCATGCCTAATCACAGACTGGCCATATGGACCACTTCCTCCCTTCTGTTCAGATATCAGCTTAAAGCAGGTGTGGGAAACCTGAATGTGGTTCTCTGGGCCTCTCCATCTGGCCCTTGGGGCTTTCCTCAGCTCACAGCCCTCACTTGGCTTGCTTCACACTCTCCTTGAATGCTTTTGCCTAACTTGGGATAGAGGTGGATTTGCCCTGCCAGACCTTAAACTTTATTATGAATCAGCAGCATTCTGCTGGTTGAAAGAATGGCTGCTTCTTGAGAACACAGACATTTTGGATTTAGAAGGTTTTAACAATGTTTTTGGGTGGCATGCATATTTGTGGTATGACAAGGTTAAAGCACATAAAGCATTTAAAAACCATATTGTCAGGAAAGCATTGTTAAATGTCTGGATAAGATATAAGGACTTACTTGAAAACAAAACCCCTAGGTGGTTGTCACCGATGGAAGCAAAGGCTCAGAAAAGGCTCAATATGGAGGCCAAATGGCCAAAATATTGGGAAATTTTGGAACAAGAAGGAGACAAATTGAAATTGCAGAGTTTTGAAAAATTAAAAGACAAAGTGCGAGACTGGCTTCATTATTATCAGATAATGGAGGCATACAATTTGGATAAGAAAACTGGCTTCCAGGTGGAAAAATCAAAATTGGAAACAGAACTGTTAGAACCCAAGACTAAGATTTGGTCAAAAATGTATAATTTGCTGTTGAAATGGAATACTCAGGATGAAACGGTGAAATCTGCTATGATTAAATGGGCACAAGATCTTGGATATAACATTATGTTTGCTGACTGGGAACAGTTGTGGACCACAGGTATGAAATTTACGGCATGTAATGCCCTAAGAGAGAATATTATGAAAATGATATACAGGTGGTACATGACACCAGTCAAGCTTGCAAAAATCTACCATGCGCCCGATAATAAATGTTGGAAATGTAAAGAAAATGAAGGTACATTCTTTCACCTCTGGTGGACGTGCCCAAGGATTAAGGCTTTCTGGGAGATGATATATAATGAATTGAAAAAGGTATTTAAGTATACCTTCTTGAAGAAACCAGAGGCCTTTCTCCTAGGCATAGTCGGCCAATTGGTGCCAAAGAAGGACAGAACTTTTTTTATGTATGCCACAACAGCAGCAAGAATTCTCATTGCAAAGTATTGGAAGACACAAGATCTACCCACCTTGGAAGAATGGCAGATGAAGGTGATGGACTATATGGAATTGGCGGAAATGACTGGCAGAATCCGAGACCAGGGAGAAGAGTCGATGGAAGAAGATTGGAAAAAGTTTAAAGACTATCTACAGAAATATTGCAAAATTAATGAATGTTAGAATGATGTTGGATAGAAACTAAGTGGTCTTTAGCCGAAATGTTACAAGGGAATATGAAAAAATGGTTTATTAATATGTAAAAATCTAAAATTACAATATTTTATGATTAAGGATTAGGATACATAAAGAGGGGAGGGATTTGCTGAACTAATAATTGAACTGGAATACAAAAAGGGAGGTGTGAGGAGGTCCTGGAAATAAGCAAATGAAGGTTAAGTGATGGAAGGAAGGAATTGTTTTTAACCATTTTTACTTTGTATTTTTTCTTTCTTTTTGTGCTTTGTAATACTCTGAAAATCTTAATAAATATCTTATAATAATAATAAAAAAATGCTTTTGCCTAACTTGAAGGCATCCTTGCACTCTAATAATAGCCTGGATGGAAGATAGTGGGTGGTGTGTCAAAGCTAGGCTACTGTGCAATGCTCACATTTATAGTCATGGCTCTGTCCACTTTTTCTTCTGCCTTTGCCCACCCCTGGAAGGTTTCTCAAAAGAGAATGTGGCCCTTCGGTTGAAAACAGTTCCCCACTGCTTTAGAGCTTTCCAGTGCAATTAGATGCACAACTATGGTCATGGTTGCAACTGTGCTTTTAAGAGTGCATAGATTTACAGTTTTCAAATGTTAAATGCATGTCTGGGGGATATTACTTGGCATTCAAGAAGGCTACCTCTGGGTGTTGAAAAAACATCTGCCCTCATTAAAATCATTTAAAGGAAGCACCGTAGCAGCACTCTGGATAGCTTTAATTGAAACTAGTTGAAATGGCATATGTTTTGACTGCAAAAGAAAAGATTGTTTTGATCCCTGCTGTGTGGAAAATGACCACAATTACACTATCTGGTGCCTAATGCACACGTTTCTTTCATCAGATACAAAAAAAAAACATGTACTGTGGTGCAGAAATAAATTTATTCATTACAGTGCACCAGGGCTTGTTAAAACTGAAATAATAAAAAAAATGTATGCTGTTAGGAAACAGGTTTCATAAACATCGTGCATCAGTGATAAGCTGTTATACTGGGACATGGAGATCTTAAAGACTGAAGTAATCTGCACTAAATATCATATTGGTCGGCTAAATGGGAAAAGCTAGTTAACTCCATTATCTCAAGGAAATGGATCTATCAAAGCTGGCAAAACCCAAAGAACAATCTTTTTCTTTTGTGGTGGTCCCACTCAGGTTTCCTTTTGCTGTGTCCACAAAGATGTATTAAGGAATGCACTTAATGGGTTTATCCTCCATGAGTCAGCAGAGATGACTCATTCCCCACAATGCACCTGCAGACATCTTGTGACTCTCTTATCTCTATTACTGAGCAGATTTGGCAAGTAATTTGTGTATAGAAGGACTCAGGTTACAGTGTACTGTGCGGGTCGTAGCAGGAGATTTCACAAATTTTTGAAGGCTATCTGATGGAACTGTGGATTCAAGTGAAGACTTTTTGAAGAGAGAGTTTGAGGAAGAAGCTGGGAAACTGCCAGACTGCAAAAGTCAAAGAACTCTCTCAGTTACAGCAGCGGCACAGCATGGAGGGTACCAGAGGCGCTGTTGGCCTGGGTGCACAGTCGGGGGGTTATAAACCAGGTGCCCCCCCCCCCGCAGCGATCCTTGTTGTGCGCCCTCCTCGCTCTGCCCAGCATCCAGTGGCAGTGCAGGCTGGGGAGGGCAGAGGGTGCTCTTCACTCTCCGCACCCTTGCCCTGCCTGTCGCTCGCCCCAGGCGGGGGCAAACAGCGCAATGCCCCCTGGGTTACAGGACTTTGCAAGCAACTGAACTTAGGCTTGGCTGTGGACTTTAACACCGCAAGGATTTTGAAGCAAATAATCCTTTGTGTATATAGTATGTAAATATAGAGTGGGCTTTGAGTGTGCCAAGTAAAATAACATTGCTGAAAACAACTTTTTCAAGTTGGGGAGCTTAACTGCTTGACTGAGGTTTCCATGGTGCATACAAAGAGAAGACCCTAACAAATTTTGCTTTTGTGTTGTAGTTGGGAAATTTGGGGTTCATCACACTGCCAATTTCCTCCACTTGGTTGGTACACACTCTAGGGACTATGCCCCTTCTCACGTCGCTTGCCAGAGGCATACTCCCCTCGGTAAACTTGCATACACACCTTGCCAAACCTCCCACACCCCCTCACCAACTCCGCTCCCGTGCGCACCCAATGACCCCGCTGCCAAATACTAAGATATGGGCTAGCATGAACCAGACACTAGACACAGGAAGCCAGAATTTGTCCCCCAAAGCATGGCCAATGCAAAAAGCCTACCAGAAATAGTGCTGCCTCTGCAAACGGGTGAAACTAGGCTTTCCTTTCCCCAGGTCAAAGACTCAGTTCGGCATACCCACCCACACCCATGCATGTTTGCATACACATGCGCACGGGCACACACATACACCCCTCAACACATTTGTTCTTAAAGGACATAAAAATAGGCAATGTACTATCTGAATATTT